TGTTGAGGAAATTTACACGTTCCTCTTCACCAGGGAATGAATTTAGGATGCCTTCTTGAAAATATCTAGGTTGGGGTGGTGTTGAGCAATCATAAGGAACGAAGGCCCGTGGTGATAACTTGCCAATCTTTGACGACGGAATGGCGTTCGCCATGAACGCGCGTTTGTTGATGGAGAAACAAAAACCGTTAGACACTTCGATTAGGTCTAAGTCGAATTTAATTTTCTGGATCATTTCGCAGGCTGGATGTGATAGTATTCTCTCAACCGCTTGGAAATGTCGAACAAGGTCGTTGTTTAGGGCGTCGTTTGCAAGAAGCTTATTCAAATAACTTGACACATCCATCATTCTGACATAAGTCATCTTCGCATTGGTGGGGGTGGTATAAATTGCGGAGCGATGAAGAACGTGTCCGCAGATTACCATAACGCGAGAAATCTTTCTGATAGTTCGTGTAATTTCATTAGGCTGCGACAATGATTGTATCGTGTCTACTTGTGGCGATAATGACGTTTCTAACACAAGTCCATCCGATTGCAGCCTTTCGATTGCTGACTGTATGGCGTCAAGATAACCATCGTGATTGACGATCGTGACACAACAGGGAGCGCTCGGGAAGTGTGTCGGATGGAATTCTTCATCGTATTCCTCTTCGTCGTTCTCCTCGTCTGTCGATGAGTCGTGGGCATTGCGGTAACAGTATACATTCGATATGTCAAGCATGTCCTGGATATTGCGGTTGTTATGGTCCTTCACAGTTTGAAAGAGCTGTCTTGCCGCATTTTCCAATTCATTATTGGCAGCGTTTCGAACTTTCATACCTTGAATGACCGGCTCTAAATCTTGGTTATGCAGCGCCGTAAAAAAGGTGTTGTCGTTGCAATTGTCGTTGGGTGTGTAGACAATGAACTATGCAATCGAGGAATAGGTTTCATCGGGTTCCATGTCCGTGGGTTCTTCCTCAACTTTTGATTTTGAGTTTGAACAAACGCTTGTGATGCTGGAGAAAAAGAAATGCACTCCTTCTATTGCATTAATGGCATCGTCCAACAGCAATCTTTTGGAAGCTATTTGAAATCTTGCAAGCTCTATATCTACGTTGCACACACGCCAAATAGCACGGCATGCGATTGCTTTCTGTTCGTCTCTTATTTAATAAACGTTACCGACGAGACGTTTATTACACTGACGTGAGTAGGGAAAATGGCATTGTAGTAATGAAAGACAAACTTACCAGACTTAAAATGTTCGCTCTTAATGAGTTTTGTATTCGTTTGGAATCCAGCTGTTTACGCGGTTTTGGAGGCATTTTTAATCAAACATATTTCCACTGTTGGTGTTCAGAATTGCGAAGACGTTGCCAGTTGGCAATGTTTTTTTGCTTGCTTGTAGCGCAAATTTGCATATATAGCAAATGAGAACAATATATTTTACTTTGGTCATCATCATTATCATTATCATTATCATTAATATTATCATTATCATTATCATTAATATTATCATTATCATTATTAATTATTAATTATTAATTATTAATTATTAATTATTAATTATTAATTATTAATTATTAATTATTAATTATTAATTATTAATTATTAATTATTAATTATTAATTATTAATTATTAATTATTAATTATTAATTGTTTATTATTATTATTATTATTATTATTATTATTATTATTATTATTATTATTATAACGACCCAGCAAACTTTCGACCAATTACACTTGAATCCATCCCGCTTAAAATCTTCACATCATGTCTTCGTAATAAAACATTTGACTTCCTCTCAGACAATAATTACATAGAACAAAACATCCAGAAAGGTTTCACTCCAAAACTCTCAGGAACACTAGAACATACTGCTCAGATGGCACATATAATCAACACAGCGCGTATGAAGCAACGATCTATAGTTATTACATTACTCGATCTTAAAAATGCATTTGGCGAAGTCCATCATAACCTCATTTACGAAGTCCTTGAATATCATCACGTTCCTAATCACATAAAGAACCTTATCTGCAGTCTTTACACTGATTTCCAAACTTCCATCATAACTGGACAGTTTAGCACCCCCTTCATTACAGTCGATCGTGGCGTTCTTCAAGGCGATTGTCTCAGCCATTATTATTCAACATGTCATTCAATACTTTCATACAACATATAAAATCTGAAAAATATCGTCAGCTTGGATTTTGGAAATTAAGTGAAATTGGCATTCCATGCAATCCCATACATTGGTTTCAGTTTGCAGACGATGCTGCTGTCATCAGTAGCCAAGAGAAAGAAAATCAAATGCTCCTTAATCGTTTTACAATCTGGTGTCAATGGGCTAATATGATTATACGCGTTGACAAATGTTCAACATTTGGGATTAGAAAACAATTTACTAAATCTATCCAGTATTTACCCAAGCTTTCCATAAATAACCATCTTGTACCCAGAACCGAAATGGGAAAATCTTTCCGATACTTGGGTCGCTATTTTGATTTCAATATGTCTGATGAGGAACACAAATCAGAATTACTCGATGTGTTTAATGACATCATGAATAAAATTAATGAACTACCCTTACACCCGAAAAATAAAATTCTTCTATACAGTCGTTACTTGCTGTCAAAGATATCCTGGGAACTGTTTCTGATATATCTAAGACCTGGATCTGCGAAACGTTAGACGGTATTGCGTCAAAATTTATTCGAAAATGGCTGGAACTTCAAGTCTCTGCTACCCTTAGCAACACTGTTGCTTCCACAAAGTATATTTGGTCTGAATATTATTCTCCCTTCGACTAAAATTTATCCAATGTCATACTGTCTCTTGATCAGCTCTAAGATACTCACCAAACGTAGATATTAACAATCCATGGGCGGTGACGAGCACCAACAAGAACGTACAGTATGACATTTACAAAGACACAAAAGACGTACTTAAGGCAGTTAGAAAAGAAAATGAAGAAAGATTTCAAAACCACCTAAATTCGCAAGGTTCTTTCTTTTCCAGTATCATGAATAATTCCACATCCATATTCAACTCTTTATGGTCATCCGTTCAGAGCAAACTTCCGAAAAACATTTTTAACTTCACCATCCGATATATCAATAACACACTTCCAACACGAAAGAACCTATCAAAATGGGGACTATCATCAACATCCGATTGCTCTTTCTGCTCCTCACCTGAAACGCTGCTACATGTGATTGCTGGATGTAAGACATATTTAGACGAAGGCCGGTTTACATGGCGACACGATTCTGTTTTAAATTTCCTCGCATCCACTCTTACTGCTGTGAAAAATTCCACACTTTACGCGTACATTCCTGGTTTTATGAATCCATCTGTTATCACGGGAGATCGTTTACGACCTGACCTTCTGCTGGTGACTGAAAACAGATGTCTATACATCCTCGAGCTTACAGTCGGTCAATGAGCAGGAAGCAGATTATGATAAAGTCAAGTTCGTCAATTTATCCTTGAGTACCCTCGGAGTTTTTGGCCGATCTTCTGAAAATTTCGATGGCATGCTAAGTAGCCTTAAATGTGATGCCAAGCAAATCGTGAACATATGCATACGAACATCATATTATGTATTTTGTAAACGAAACAAGGTGTGGGATAACCCAAAATTAATGTTAATATAATCCTCCTTAAAATAATTATTGTACAATAAATATATAGTTATATAGTATCAATTCAAGTAGACATTGATAAACTACCTGTAAAGCGAGGTTTATCATTGTAGTTGTATATATCTTAATAATCAATAAATAAAGTTTCCATTATTATTGTTATTATTGTTATTTTCACATCTTTTAACTCGGTGTCTAATCAACCCAACTATTACTAAATATATATGTATATATTTATATATACAAACTAAAATGGTTGCTTTTCATTAGGCCGTGTCGAGTGTCAATAAATATACTAGTTATTTACAATATCAAAAGAAAATGAACAAAAATACAGAGATAGAGATACATTCACTCTACTTTATTCCTCTCGCTCCAAATTTTAGCAGCAGCATATCCAAAGGTGCGAACCATAGAATTTGTTTTCGGTTTTGGCAATGCTAAAAATTTATTATTGCTTCTTAAATCATATCTTTCAGAATTTGATATTTTAAACTTTTCAGCTATACTTTTCGGGCATTTTCCGGTAATAGTTTTTGAAACATACGCACTTGCTTTTTCTTTTCTTTTTACGGATAGGTTTTTCTAATTCAACTTTTCAGAAGAGTCTGACAGATGCGTGCATTGCGAGGAGTGACAGAGTTTGGGAAAGTCAATTAACAGTAAATATTGTTAGCATAAATCCATATAACCGCTTATAATACCTGAAGCTTTTCAGACGAGATCCCACATATTTGGGCGACAATGAAGTTGCTTGGTATTGTTCGTCGACCTGAAGGAGTTTAATTAAGGTGGCTCGATATAGTTATCACGAAAACCCTGCTCAAGAATCGCGAACTCAAAACCGGGTGACCATTTTTACGCGCAGGTCGCGGAAACTGATTAACAAAATGACAGAACTTCCAAAATGACCTGACGTAAGCAGCTGCTCGCGCCATCTCACGTCATTTCGCGTGTTCTATATACCGTTTTATGTCAATTGCTGACGTCATTAGAATTTTCCATTTTAGAAAAACAATGCGCTATATCTCTTTATTTTGTCTGGTGACCTATGTTCAAATTTTGCAAGCTGTATTGCACCGCTAAAAACTTTCATTATACAAAAAATAAAAAAATTCTGTAATGCCAAAAAAATTTTACCGGAGAATATGACATTTTCGCATTTTCCAAAAAAATGGCATTACAGAATTTTTTTATATTTTGCTAATTGTTAGCTTTTCGTCCAAGTACAATAATGCAAGAAAAAAATTGGGGGTCACCATGCTTCTTTTCCAACTATACGAGACGAAAGGCCATTTTGGAGTGTATTTTGTACACGTATGTCGTCATAGCAACGAACTATCTGTTACTAAAACTAATATAATTTGAAAGTAGAGATATCGAAATATATAAAAAAACCAATATCTGCTGAATATATTCTAAAAATGCATAGTTTGAACATTTCAAAGTGTTGAACACCTGAATTTTTGAAAACTGTATCGAGCCACCTTAATTACACGTAACCGCTAATGTTTCATATATGTACCAGATAGGTTGATAGATCTAAAAGTTATAAACACGTTCACAATTAACTTTAAAAACGTATTAATTATGCATGAGGGAAACACAAAGAAAAATCATAAGCGTGTCTTTATATGTGATAGGGATTTCCCTTGATTTACATAAATTAACTTTGATTTTCTCGACTTACGCAACGTATTTTTGAAAAATACTTCGCCAATGAACTTACTAGATCGATCATTTTTGAAGTAATTTAAAACTTTCGTGCGGTCCGTGTTTTATAAAACCTACAGATACTAACTCGGCTTCGCCTCGTATCTTTATTTCTGAAAAACCACTGCTGTTCAAGTTTTAAAAAGTACGTAATTTGTAGTAGGGTCGGGCAATTACAAATTCTGCCTGGCTTTTGTTTATTCGCAATACTCACGCATCACCGGTGTTAAGGCCGTTTCCCAATAAACAGCTAAAAACGATCAGCTCTCTTTAATGTGCAAAATTAATTTCTCTTGTCTTGGATGCGCGCGCGTTAATTGGAATCACTTCACTACGTTTGGAATGACGTGGTTGATGTGCCGTTTAATTAAATTTCAAATTACGCGAGCCAACAGATCACGACACTTTTGTATATAAAAGAGCGTGTGAATTAAACAAGTCACATATTATTAGCACTGATGAAGATCCGGGCT